AAACTTAACCGCTCGATAATTAATCATTTAAAAGTAATTATTCACAGCAGGATCGATTACGCTCGCAGTTCGTTATACGCAAAGTCTGCACAGTAAATATTTGCATAGACACGAGAGAAGATCTCGGTTCTCTGTTGTTGTTACAGCTGATAACTCCCGCTTAAAAATTCGCCATAAATACGTCGCGACGGGACATTTTAACGCTCCCGAAACCCGATATATCGCGATTTGTAATTTTTCGATAAATGCCACCCCCCGATTATGCGCATAATTTACGAAGGGAAAGCGGTAATTTAATACGGCCGAAACAGAAAATAGCAATAAGATACGCGTTAAAAAGTATCGGGTATCGTCTCCGAATAAGCATTTTTATAGCGTTATTAAAAGATTTAAAATATAAAAAAAACGCAATTTTTAATATAATTTATAAAAATATGCCCCTAAATTACGCCGAAATTTTCTCACAAGAGTCGATACTTTAAAACAACGTTATATATATATATATATATTATTAAATTACGGATAAACGAATAGCGTAGGAGAAGGGGGGGGTTTCGAACGAACTTAAACGCGTTGGAAGTTTCTTGTAAAAGTTTCATTCGGCGCGTGAAAAATTGATCACGATCCACGCTCTCTGTTATCCGGGGGATGCCTTCTGCCACGCGGATATCAAGAATTGTCGAATTTCTACGCGGGAGATGGATAAATTTAGATACCTTTTTGGACGCTTTGGGCTATTTCGAGGGGGAAGATGAAGAATTTCTTTCTTTCTTTCTTTCTTTTTAGGTGCACGCTTCGGTTCGCCTCCCGCAAACTTACTTCCCTTCGGTTTTGTAGAGCAAATGGCGTGTCGATAAATAACGACGTTATTTTAAGTTTGGTAAATCTATTAAAGATCACGGAAGACACGAGGAAAAAAAAGGGGAAGAGAATATAGTTTTTAAATGACTTCACCGGCGTGAAGTGCCGTAAACAATTGCTGCAAAGTGTTTATAACCCGAAATTTCTTTGTCTAGAAGAAAAAAAGTCCCCCGTAATTACTTCGAAACACCGTTTCGGGGTGTCGAGTGACCCGGATTTAAGAATTTCCTGCGTTTTTAGTAACAGAAACGTTCGAACGTTCTTCCTCTTCGATTTTAGAAATTGCCGAAAATCTCGGCTCCAATTATTATATATGCATCGAACGCATACGGACGGACCGACACAGACTGCGATTGCTTTTTTCCCCCTCGTATCTCGAGGAAAAGAAGGGGAGGAGGGAAAAAAAAACATTGTACTCGTTGTGTCGGCGCGGGTTTTCTTTTTCTGCGTCGTTATTTCGGTTAGTGCGTCATATCGAGTTATGATATTCGCATGGTTAAAGACGGGGACGCTTTGCGGATGGTACTATTTTCTTAGCCGGAGGCGGTCCGTCTGGAACCAGTTTGCCCTTCTCCCTCCCGTGACCCATGCCAAGGTCTGAGTTGTCTACTCCGGCCCGAAGTCGAACGTTGTTTCCTCTTCCGTTCTTCGCCTCGATATTACGCTCCTCTGCCCGAACGTCCGAGCGTTAGACGGAGGTAGATGGCCATTCAACCTCAAGCAGGTAACGTCCTTCCAGTTTTTTCTCCCCCCCCCCCGTAATGAAAGGTCGGTTTTAGCACGGGAGGGATCGGATTATTTATTTTTTATTTTTACTGATACTAGTGGATCGGACGCGCTCGGCTGCACTCGGTACAGTGTTTTTAACAGTTCGAAAACAGGCCGTTGTGCCGCGGTTCAATTAAGGTCTTTCGGTTCTCTTTTCCGTTTGTTTACTACACTTGCCAACTGTTGAAATTCGTTCAACTCTTGCTCCTTCCTTCCTTCCTCCCTCCCTCTCTCCCCCCTCGCTCTTCTTCTTTCTTCCATCTCCCCTTTTTTCTTGTATAAATAAATCAGAAACTATTTGTTTAAGCCTCGAGATGTAATTTTAAACTCTTCGAGCGTTAACGTTATAAATTTAAATTCGATTAAAAAATTCATTTTTGCTACGGCGACTCTTCCTCCCCCCTCTGTCTTCTTTTTATTTTTTATTTTATTTTTTTTTACCTATTTACGCGTAATTGATGAACTGTACGTTATTAAATTCTTTTTTCTTTTCGTTACCAGAAGAATTATTTTCGGAAACGCGCATTTATTCTTAAAAGAAGAAAAAAAATAATTCAAAATAATAAACAATAAAAACGTTTCCGCAGACCTCTTCTTCCTCTTCCCTCCTCGAAGGGGGAGGAGGAAGAAAAGTAATTATAAAGTTTCGTCTTTCTCTCTCTCTCTCTCTCTCTCTCTCTTCCTTAGTTTAGTTTAGTTTCTTCACCCTTTTTTTTTAATTCTAAATGATGGATAAAATCTAAAAATAATCGATAAAGTTCGGAGAAAATCGATACAAGCCTCTTCCTGCTTGGCAAATTTATTATTATTATTATTATTACTGTGTCCTGCTCGTCGCTGGTTTCGCCCGTCTGTAGTAATGTCGGTTCGTACGCCGCATTAGCGACTGTAATTTGATAGATGCCATTCTCAGAAATTAATATAGAAGCGATTTTCTATTACCGAGTAATCCGGGAGTGTAAATATAGAAGCGAAACACTAGCGGGTCGGTTGCCAGATTGCTCTTCTCGTTTGTAACGTTAATTTTCGTAACGAAACTTCGCTTTAACGCGTGTTTTCGGGTTTCTTTCGCGTCCAATTTGGGCAGATGTCCCGCTTCTCTGTCTACCGGTCGGTGTGGTTACCGACACGTGCTTTGTTTTATTAAAATCGGGCGTTAAATCGGAGGGGGGATGGTGATTAACGACCTTTATAAAATGCGTGTATCTTTTAGTGTTTTAGACTGTGAAATTTATAGAGATTAAAAAAATGATTATTAATTATTATTTTATATTTGCTGGGGGCAATTTTAATTTATACTTAATCCGCTTTCGTCTTGCTGCACGTGTTTTCTTGCAGATTCGTGGGAAAAATATGCAATAATATAATCTGTGAAGCGTGCCCTTTCCTTTCTAATTGTAGGTTTCAAATTTTACGACTAAAATGGATATACTTAGATTAAATGTCGTATAATTCCAAGCGAGTTGTCCTCTATTCGCGGGTTTTTCTCTCCGAAATTCATTTCCTCTCGTTGCTATCAGATGGATCTTTACGGAGCTTGATCGATGAGGTCCCGTTCTTGAAAGAAGTTCGTGAGTATTGCCGAGTGATTTATCCTTCTACCTTCATTGTTTGCCCGTGTGTGTTTTTATATATATATATAGGCCTATACAGAAAGATTCCCATTTTATATCTTAATTAACCTGGCGTTGATATGACAGGTTTTTTGTGAGGGGGGAGAAAAGCTGCTTCTGCTGCCGTCTCCCGCAGCGCCATTGTTGAACGTGTTGCTAATTGAAGAGATGTTTTCTAATGTTCGGTTACAAAAGCCTCCCTTCATTGCAGCCCGCCATCATTTAATAATAATCTTTGTCGAAAACGATCGCAAAAATGGAGCGATGGCCCTTCGAGGGACGTTTCTATCATATATTTTTTTTTACTCCATCCGGAAAAATTGAAATTATATTTAATTAAATCCGTTTCGCAGTTTTGAGGTAGCTTTTTTTTTTAAATTTCTTCTAAATAATTATACGATTTCTGTAAGTTTAATTTAAATTTTTATTCGCGGAGTCTCCATCTTCCTAAAAAGTACAAAGTTTAAAGACCTAGACTCGAGTGCCTACAGTGGTCGAATGGACGAAACCACCAGTAGAAGGTCGCGGGTTTGCGCCCGACAAAATGGCCGGGCGCGTGGAGTTTTGCGGATTTTCTTCACGCGTCTAACACCTAAAATGGGGGTGGGCCCGTTTTCCCCATCGAAAGTCCTCCCGGGGTCGTCGTCATCCCCCTCGGCGGATTGCCTCGTCTCATCAATCCCGGCCCCACGCGCGAAGAAACTCAACGTTGATAATGGACGTTCCTACTTTTGGATGATGAAAATTTACGGAAACACTAAATTATTCATTAGGGCTATACGAAAATACTGAATAATTAATAAAATCGGCATTTATTTTTCGACATTGTTCCTCCGAGAGAAGAAGCCAGACTACTTTTTATTATTATTATTATTATTATTTTATTTTTATTTCCTCTCCTCTCCGTGGTTGATAAGTCGCATCCCTACGTGTCCTCTTTCCGTTCATTTAATCAAATTAGAAATGAATATTTTACCATTGCGGCTGGATGTTCGAAATGCTACGATACCGAGCGGTAATTTTCCATATGGGTTACATTACCGTAATGAAGAAACCAGGCCGGTTTGGATAATTTATTCTTTAGCCAATTATAAAAAGTTCGATAATTGGTTTTCGGTGAGGAATATCGATCGGTTTTAAAAATACAGTTAATTACTTTTATGTGTTATTTGATACCAGTCGATCTTGCCGTATTTTAAACTGCAGTGAGCTACGGAAACGTTACCCGTGGGCTTAAAATTTCCCAACTCCTGATGGATAAATTGTACTACTTTTGAAAAACTTGGCTGCTTCTGGTGTTTTAGTATTATTCTTTTTTACTTCGTCCTCTTAGTCATGAAGTACAGCAAACTTTCTATCTAGTAGATACTGAAACTGTTCTTGACGTAAAGGAAAATTCCCCTTCCCTCTCTACATTACTTCTCTTCCTCTATTCCTCTGTACGAGGCGATAAATAAACACAGTAAAATACCGATTAAATCAATTTTTGTATTGATAATAACGCATGTATTTTTTATTTTCTTTTAATCTCCGTTAACAATACTTTCGGTTGGAGACTCTGTGTCGAGGAAATCCTGACAGAGCGAGAGGTGTCTGGTTACAATTACTCATACCAGAATTTATTACGAGTTACCGAATGAGTAGCGGTTACGGTTTTAGATTCGATAATTCTTCTTAAAAGTTTATTATTTTAATAAGGAATGAATTCTGTTTTATAGATTTATATAAAAGTTTTTTTCTTTCTCTTTTTTTTTCCAGATCTCACTCCCGAAGAACAACAACTGCTGGCCGATATTCGACGAAGGAAAGCAGAACTGCTTAGAGAGATTCAGGTAAATATAGTAATAAAACCTCCAGAGACGAAGAAGTAAATGGGAATTTAAAAAAAAAAAATAATAATAAAAATAAAAACACCCCCGAATATCTCGACTTATTTACGCCTTTACTCGTGACCTTAACTAAAAATTGAACTTTTCGCATCACTCGTCGACACTTCTTCCCCCCCTCTCGCTAGTTATTCCAGTTTGGGTTACAGTAGCGGAAATGTGGCAGCCACGCCTCTCTCTCTCTCTCTCTCTCTCTCTGTGTGTGTGTGTGTGTGTGTATGTCTGTCGTTCGTCATTGATCTTATCCCCCTCGTCCTTATTTCGAAACAAAGCGATGGCTATCTGCCATTGTGAAAACAGGTACCAGAAGTATCGTTAAGTAAAAAGACACTCTTATCGCTCCACTTTAATTATCTTGTATATTTATGTTAAGTACCCGATTTATATCGCCTATTATATTACGCCTTTTATTAATAAGACGGGCCACGTCGAGTGTGTTTGTCCGTCTCGGCAGTAAATAATAAGTAGTGTGCCGCTTGTAGGGAATGTTCCCATGTTGCGTGTGACCCGAAGCATTATTGTGGTTGCTTTTTTTTCTCTCTCCCCGCTCCGTAGTACGTACAGATAGAAATTTCGTCTGTCCCGCTGTGTTTCTAATGGCGACCTCCCCAAAATCCGCTTTTAATACATTGTCCAAGGAGGAGGATGTTTATATATACAGTATATATACACATACACACACTTTTATCGGTCGAATTAATCGTAAATATACTCGGGGATTGGTCTATCGAATCGATACCATGCCACTTTTATTTTCGGTAATAGTTTCCAAGTGCTTTTTATGGAGGTCTGTCCGCTCGCTAACCTCTCTACTTATTATGAATTTCGATTAGCATCCCTCTCGTAAAGGGGAACGGCGTCGGTTTTGTCGGGGTGAGTAGTTTAAGTAGACGATCGGGGGATGGAAATATATTGGCTGGAGGAGGGGGAGGAGGATCGCACCAATCTCTCTCTCTCTTTCCATCTCCCCCGGAAAGGGCAGTGGGGCAGTCGATAACGTCACACTTTTAGCCCTTTTCCTCGATTCTCTTTGTTTTGCTTTGGCTTATTTGGTTCGGGGGTGGCTCAGAGAAGTCGAGTAACGGAGGAGAAGGGGGAAAGAAAGAAAAACGAATTTTCGAAATCGAATAGTTTAGTCGCGAACTGATACGGTACGGGGATGTTGTGTAGCTGATTTCAGTTGTCGATTATGTGTTGTTTCGTGTCGCAGGATAAGCGAGTAGCCTTCGAAGAGGTGAGGCCCGTTTTTGTCTCTATTTTTACCGCTCTCTCCGACGTTTTGTTTATTTTAACGGTCGTAAACGGTTGTTTCTCTCGTACGGTGAGATAAGTAAAGCTTGTTTACGTAATTGCTTCCAGTGTCGTTGCCCCCTATACGTTCGTTTTGAAGTAATTAATTGGACGAAGGGTATTTAATTTGGTGTAAGAATGAAAGCTAATGGATAATTTCGTGTCAATTTATTAATTACAAATCAGGAAAAAAGCTATCAGAGAAATGATTTTCTTCCTTTTCTTTATAATTAACTTAATTTTTTTTCTCTCTCTCTCTTCTATTTGATTTTAGCCTTTAGATGTTTTGCAGGAATGTTTTTAATAGGGGAAAAAATTAAATATTAAAGGAGAAAACTCCTGACATTATGAATCATCGGTCTGGTTAATTTCCTCTTAAGAATTATGCAATGTTAGGATATTTTTTTAAAGAAATTAAGAAGGATTTTGTCATTAGGCTGGGGAATTTGATGTTAAAATTAGTCGATTTGGCCTGGATTATATATAACTTGTTGGAAAAAGTTAACGAATACAAAATGTTGGCTATTAATACCGAAAAAAAGTTATATTTTTAATAGAAAAGTTTTTGAATCCTTGAGGCCATAAATTACTTTTATTTGGAGCGTTTCAGAATTGATCGGTCGAAATATAATCCAGTCGTTCGCATTTAAAAGTAGATTTGCTGCTGTTGTATTTGCAACTTTAAGCATTCTTTTGTCATAAATCACCTTGTTTGGAAGATGAAATTAATATTTTCTTAGAAGAAAAATGACTCTGACTTCTCGAACTTGATTCCAAATCTGCTTTATCATGATTTTTAACATATAAATTGTATATGACATAGTTACAGAACAATGGTAGCAAGAACTTTAATGTGAAATACTTGAATAAGAAATTTAAATGTTTTCCCTGTTTGTGCATTGTAAATGTGTGTTTTACAATTTGAACCTACTTATTTATTTATTTTTTTAAATCTGGTATCAAGGAGAGTGTCATTTTATTCTCTTCTTAATAAGGTAGTTGGTTTTATAAAAATTTTCACAGTTAATTGAGTTTTACTCTTCCAATTAGCCATTAAAGAAAAAAACCCGAAGTACTTAATTAATGCCATTTAAGTGGTTGTCCATTGCAATAGCAGTATGTGGGAAGAGACCAGGTGTTGCCGCTGTAGTTCGTCCCCTCTCATGGTGTTCGTCTTGGAGTCCCATTTCTTCTGGTATCCTCGGGTGCCGCCTCAAACTCTGCTTCTAGCGTTGCGTGCTTTGTTATGTCCTTCATAGACTACATTTATCAATTTCACAAAAATTTAAAGATTTTAAATTATAATACGCAAAAATTAAAATTATATTAAGGTATTATTATAGCGAGGTTAAAGACGTATGGTATGCTATTTATTGGAGCATGTTGACTTTGTCCATTAGTAAATTTTTTCATTTCATTTCTCCTTTTTGTAACCAGTTTGTTACAACATGCAATCTCTGTCGTACAACAATAATGATACCAATTTCATTTGTCATATATTCAATCTTCGGAAACCAGTTTGATTAACTAAAACTGTTTTTAGTAAATGTGTATAAAATGGATTTTTTTACATCATTTTTTTTTCACAATTTATACATTTTCTACACTCTCTTCATACCAAATTTATATTAAATATAATCATTACGTACAGTAATTGTAAATCTATAATTAATTGTGAATAATTTAAACTATAACTAGTAAATTTTTTTCTGATTTCTGAATTGTTTTCTCTAAATTTTTTACTGTAAATGGTATTGTGATCCCTGCATTTCGTGGCAGTGAAGAAAAATTAGTTTTTCTCTTTATAATTGAAAACTTTTCTTTTAATAGCAACTTCGAGATGAAATTGCTGAAGTCACAGCAGAAATGGAAAGGCTCGAAGCACAGGATGAAAGGTAAACATTGATTCTCAGCGTGTTTGTTTTTGAAAAGTAGTTTTTAAAGTTAATTAATACGGTCAAATAATTAAAAAATTGTCTCTGTGTTTTGTAAAATTTTAAACGCGCTTCCCTTTTTAAATTAAGTTTTTGTCGTCTCCGTTTTGTTCTACAAAAATATAAATTTTACTCATTAATACGAAGGCGTTTTCCCGGATTTTAATTTGCCGTCGATTACGGAATAAAAATAAATTTTGTCAACGTCGGAATAATAATGAAATTAGTTTGCTAATGGAATTTAGTACATAAAGTTGGATAGTAATTGAAATGTCTTAACATGTTTCAATTAATTTGGCAGCTGAGTGCATTCAGATGAAGATTCTAGTTCACCAGGTTGCAGGTTTGAATCCCACTTTGGACGTGAATGTTTGCGAGTGTCAGATTTTAATGGGAATTGGTTGCTGCAGAGGGCTCTCAAAGGCCATCAGTGTGAAGTTGAATGCTTATCACCTATTTAAAATACATAATTTGATAGTTTCAATTTATTTTTTTTTATTTTGGTAATTTTTAAAAAATTTACTAAAACATGAACATGATAATTTTTATTGTTTTTGTATCACTTGTGTTCCAACATAAGAATTTTTATCTAAAAGTAATAACATTTTCTGTTACTTTTGATGATTAGTTGTTTTGTATCTTTATTTCGATTCAGAATTAGCAGAATGTCTTCTTTATGAAATTATATTTTGAATTAAGTCCACTTTTGTTGATGGTGGTTTAGAATATTAATATATTTTGCATTATTTATTTGCCATTGTGTATTTTTGAATGGCATTTTACATTCTTATGTTTTATACTTTCAATGCTAACATGAAAGAATTTGTTTTGTATTTTATATTCCATTTTTATTTAAGGAAGTTTTAGGTATACAGTGAGTTAGCATTAATTGCAATGAAATAAATTGCTGAAATAATCATTTTTCAGTTACAATCCTGTTTTTTAAGATAGTTAACAAGCTCTTATTAAATGACTTCTGTACTGTAAGTTTGGTCTTTTTTCCATTGATTTTCTTAAAAACAAAATTAGCTTTTTTTGATATTAATGAATAAATTTATTACCTAGCACTTTGTAAAAATTACATTAAATTTATTTAGAATAAATAGAATATTTCAAACTTATCTGTCTGACAGAATAATAGTTATAATATCTAAATTCGAGATTTATTTATTAACAAAATTATTCCAATTCCAGATGAATTCATAATACATTTTAATATGTATTGTTTATCTAGATAGACAAAGAAGTAGTAAAATTCAAAAATATATTATAATAATTTAAATAAATTGTTTTGTTTTATAAATAAACAATGACTGGATGTAGGTTAACAATGGACTGATTAGAGATCAATGATCAAAATGAGTGTCAGATCCTTCTTAGTTGTCAATTATTTATTAAAATAGTCATTTAAGAGACAATATAGTAATGAGAAACCTTTTTCTATTGAATTTGAGTTGTGGATAACATTTGAGCTCTTAATATTTTAACAGTTCAATGAATCTAAGTTGAAATTGCAAATATTTTTTTAATATGGAAGGAACTTGATTAATAATTTATGGAGTGTGTCTATTTTTATTTGGTACAATTAAATGAAAAATACTTATCACTACAAAGGAACAATTTTAGGTCAAGTTATCTGGCAGTATTCTGATCAAAAACACTTGAACATAAAATCTTGAATATTAAGTATGAAGTGGCTTTAATTTTATGACCCAATTTTAGATGCATTCAATAAGATCGATACATTTATAATGAAAAATAAGTTCTTCAGATAACATAAATTATATTAGGCTTTAATCATTCATTGTATATGAATAATTTATATTAATGTAACATAATATATTGACCTTTTAGCTTTGTTAATGATACAAAAATATTTCTGAAAATCTTTTATAATTTATATCATAAAAATATTTATTTTTCATGTCATCCTTTATCATTACATGTTAGATATTTTCCAAGTTGTTATTAATACAACTCAAGGGTGCAGCTAGATCAGAATAGTAGGGGTGGCTCTAGCAAATTACCGGATAACCTTACCGGCATCTGGGGATTTGGAATGCCCCAGGGAAAGAGGGTTTGGAAGCTCTGCCCCGAAAAATTCTTGAAATGTAATAGTCTATAATATATTAGTATTAAGTAATGTATGTACAAAATAGTACAAAAATATTCAAAATTTAAATGTTAGAAATTTTATATTTATGTAAAAAGTATAAATAATCAAACAATTTAGTCATTTGGAAGAATAGACAGAGGTGACTGAGTTTCCTCTCGCCCTTCTATGGCTATGGGCCAGATGCAATTAAGTTTCATTTATAACTTTAGTATCTTATCTTTCTGTTCAATTTTTTTTATCTAACTCAAATGTAACTAATTCTGTAGAGTTTTTATATAATATTNATATTATGTTCTGATCCCTTATTTTCATTCTATTATATATAGACATATTTTTAAAATTTGTTGTTGCTGTAAAAAATTAAATAAATTTTTTATTTACCACTTTTGAAATCATTGCTATATGAGTATATTTAAATAACAAATATTAGGAAATGTGTTTGTTTCAAATTAGTTAAATTCTTAATCGTGGTATTATCACGATATCACGTATTTATTATCACGTATCTTACATTATAAGATGTGACTTTTTTCCCAGAAAAGATTATCCTGTATTTGATATGATAACCAAACTGGAGTAAGCTTACATGTTGTAGTCATCAATATATGGTAAATCCAAACACGTAATTTTAAACATGGTGGTTTTCAGATCAACCAGAACAACAAATAATAATAATTTACTACATCAGGAAACAAGGGAAAATAATTCTTATACATAAAACTGTCTACTGTAGATCTGAAGCAAATGTGTGCATATTATGTCATTTGCTTCCTGATATTAAACAATTAGTCTAAGTATATATGATGTTTGTTTCTCTAATTGTTGCTGTAAACAAACTAATTAATTTAAGTTTGGCCAAAATTAAATGAGAGTAACTGTGATAATGGCAATATGATATAGTTGTTGATTAGCTGTGATGCAAATTCAGATAAACCTTAATGTGGAATTGAATGTGGAAAAAAAATTATTTTTTTATTTTTCACTGATGTAATGTAACAGGCTTTTTTAAAATTTTTATTTTGGTCAGAGCCAATCTTGATGATGATTCTTTCTTGATTCTGAATTGTAATTGTGTTCCTTTGTTTTAGTTCTGCAAAAATTTCTATATCTTTGGGATTTCAAAATCTAAGTTATGGATGTGTTTTGATATGCCAGTGCATCTTAATGGAAAATACAAGTTTTTTAAAACCATTTTTGCATTAAACATATGTAATTTTAATTGACTTAATATAATAAATATTCTAGGCAATTCTTGTGGAGTTTTAGGCTACCTGGTGAAGCACAGAAGATTGATCGTATGATGGAAAAATTCGCACAGCGATATTGTCAACTTAATCCCGGTGTGTTTAGTAACACAGGTAAAAAAAATTTATTTTTATTCTGTATAATGATTTTACTAATGGACCAATTATCCAACCTACAGAAATTTGGTGGGCTGTAGCATTACTGTAATTTGCTGCACAACCATTTTGTTTTGGTTTTTGTGGTGTACTCATTACATCATATCAGTCCCATTATGTTCTTTACTTTTCTTTGTTTAATTTTTATCCTAAATATTACTCTCTATCCTATATTTTAAGGATTGATAATGATCAAACAGATTTATAAGTATACTAATTTGTATCTGTTAAATACAGTTTTTTTTCTTAACTTTGTTTATTTTATATTTTAAGTAAATACTTATCCTGTGTGCAGAAAACCAGGAAAATTCCAAAACCTGGATCATAAGTCGTATGTTAGATAAACATTTTATATTATTGAATTTAAAAACATACATCAATAACTTTGTTATGTATCTAAAATAAATTGCAACAAAATTTTAAAAATTTTGACACTAAAAATAACTTTTTTTAAATATTGCAAGTTGAAATTTCATTGCAAAATGTACTGTTCTGGATGTATTAAAGCAAAAGGACTTTTTGTTTATATCTTTTAGATTGTTCTAATTTTTTTTAGAGCAACAACAATTTGTACACCTTTCCTAAAAGATTAAAGAATTTTTGGTTTAAGGAAGAAGAAAAGATACTTTTTCTACAAAAGTTTTTTCTGAGTCATATGCAATACAATAATCCAACAATTGTCTAAATATTCGGGCTATAATATGGCTATAATCAAATAATTAATACAGATAAATTTGGTATTAGAGGTAAGTGTTAGGTGCAATCTCTTAATTAGGTTAAATCAAAATTTAAATACTTCTGGAAGTGAAGACTGGCTTGGGATCCAGGTGGCGCAATTAGTAGCACACTGCATGGCACACGGAGACTGCTGGTTCATGCCCCGGATCAGTTATTTTCTTCCAGAAGGTTCTAAATTATTTACTAAATTATTAAAATTATAATTATTAATTTAGATAAGAGATGACCGCCTAACACTTACCTCTAGTACCAAATTTATTTGTATTAATTATTTGATTATAGCCATATCATAGTCCGAATATTTAGGCAATCGTTGGATTATTGTATTAACTCATCAGGCTTTGAGATGTGTATATTATATTCACATACAATACAATAAGAATGATGATAATATATTGTGGTTTGCTAATTAAAAATTGCTCCTTGTCTTTTAATTCATCTTTCATGTTTTTGTTGTATAAGAGTTGTTATATAAGAGAAAAACTGAATTAAGTTTCAAAATTTCATGTTAGTACAAAGTATTGAACTTCATTTATGATGAGTTGACATGGAATAAATGCATTTTATATGTGAAATATTATAAAATACTTAGGAAGAATTTTTCAAATTTAGCAGTTTAAAAAATGTGTTTTAGGTTAATAATCAATACTTCATTTTAATAACAGATATGTACAGGTAGCCTGTGGTTTACGCCACAGTTCTTACTT